AATTTCTCCTGGTTTGGTTTCTAATTTAATAAAACAACATGTCGATTGGGGGTGGCGCGCAGTCAGGGGTAAATGGAGACTTTATGATCTCGTCGGCATAGATCGCGACTTTGGTCGGAAGTCCTGGATGATAAACTAGTCCCTGCTTAAAGCCGCAAGTGCTTTATGAATACATAGTACCTATTGTTTTGGACGTGTCTAGAGATGCCTTCCGAGATCGTATCCACGTGTTCGCATATGGTGTCCGACAAGGCATCAGTAGGAAAACACTGTCTAAGCAGTTAGAACACCTGATAGCTCGAAGGGATCAACGGTCTGCAGATCACCGAACGGAAGGTTTGCTCCCTGTCATCTTCTGTTCGCTTTATAAATACCGTACAAAGATACTCCGAGGGAAATGATAAAATTTTCCCTAATACCTCGCAAACAGTGCACACTAAAGGAAATCATAGGTCGCGTTTACGCCATATTTATGTACAGCGTAACTCATTAAAATTACCCGTAATTCAACTAGCTAGTAATCAGTTGCACTACACAATGCCAGCGCACCTTTTCTTGCTAGTCCTCAACAGCATCTGTCACAAGCTAATTAAACCCATACTGATCAACGACTCAGTCTGCTGAGGCATGTACACAAAGATCACACCGGTTTTCCGGCACCCGAATGAAATCTATTCTCGAAAATGTCAGTTAATGTAGCTATTTGGGCCGAAAAATAGCTTAATAGGCTTATTTGCCACACATGAATTGAGCACACGTTTTTTGTCTCATGTTCATTATGTACTTCGTTCACGATGTGGTCGTCGCTAGTGAAAATCCAAATGTTTAAAATGCCTATTTTCTCTTAACTCCTCCTTCATTGGTTATCGTCAACGTCCTTCTGCTGCACAGTCACTGGCAGTAAGACCAAAGGCTGCCTTTTGTGGTCAGTACTAAATAACCCTCTATGAAGGTAGACTGCATGAAGCACCTCAATGGTAATAGACTCCTTTCGTGGCTCACTACTACAGAGGCTTTGCTTACTG